TATGATAGAAAAACACTTTGTGATAGAAAAACTCAAGGGCTTTTGAGAGTGTTGTAAAAGACTCTGGCCATTGTGAAATGTACTGAGTTACTTCAGTACATTCATATTAAGTAAAATAAAGTTTTTAAAATATATGAAGTACATAGCATACTGGAGGTTTATAGGTACCTGGGGGTTCAGCTAGATGACCTACAGCAACATGTCTTTTCAGTCTTTAATTTATGTGAGCTGGATCGCTGCTTCCCTTTCTGCGAGTAAAGGGGACCTCTAACAGATGTCTGGGGACACCCAAAGAGAAGTAACGCTTGCTCTGTGGTATCATCCCCCTCCATGGGAGTGGTCTCTGAGTGATCTGCAGGGATCCCTGGCAGTGGAGGAGGCAGGGCCGCCCAAGGGGAGGGCAAGTGGGGCAATTTGCCCCAGGTCCCGGGCCCCACAGGGGCCCCCACGAGAGTTTTCGGCAGCAATTCGGCGGTGGGTCCTTCACTCGCTCCGGGACCCGCTGCCGAAGACCCCAGGCCCCCTGAATCCTCTGGGTGGCCCTGGGAGGAGGAGGAAGAGGTGGTAGAGTGGGATGGAGCAAAGCTGTGGGAACAGTTGCTTTCTGCAGTATTGTACCCTCCCCCAGACCCACAAGCAATACCCAAGTAAGATCATGCTGACCCTGTCAGAATTACTTATCTGTCATATATCTAAGGTATTTCTAAAGCACCTCAAAGTTAAATTATCAGCAACATATGTGTATGTCCCCCATCTGCAATATATATATACTGAAGGGAGATTAGGGAGAAATGGCCAGCAGGAAAATCCATGGGATCATGACTTCTATAGAAGCATGCTGCATGTGAGTCGGGACTGTCCCGATTTTGAGGAGTTTGTCCCGCGTCCCGACCAAAGTACGGTTGGGACGCCATTTGTCCCGATATTTTGTTTCGGTTTGTTTTTTTTTACATTCACCCGTTTTTGGCAGCAATTCGGCGGCGGGTGCTTCTGTCTTTGGCGACAAGGTTTATTACCCGCCACTGAAATGCCGCCAAAGACCCAGACGGGTGAGTGTAACCCCTGCGGCGGTCCCGATATTTTCCACTTAGCATCTGATCACCCTACGTGTGACACTCTGTGAAGGGAAAAGGACTTTGAAGATCACTGGTTATCCTTGGATTTAGAAGGCCCAGTTGCTTACTACTTCTTCTTTGGGAACAACCTCCTCTTTCTCCTAAGGTTTAATGATGCAATGACAATCCTATAATCAGGGACTCACAGAATTTCCTGTCTGCTAGGGACCTTTTTTCCATGTCTGGGGCAATCTGGATCTATGAATCTAATCATGAGATTAGCCTAAAAAAAAATCACTCAGACAGGAAAATTTGGGAGAAATAAACTGAAATAGGGGGATAAAACATTCCAACCCTCCCCAGCTTCAAATATTGAATATTTCCTATTTTTACATAAATTTGTTGAGCCTTGAAAGATCACTTTGTTTTAGATAATTCTAGGCTTAAAAGACTGGAATGATTTCTTTTTTTAAGAAAAAAAAGCAAGTTTGCTCTTCTGGTGAGTTTTTCCAATATTTGTAGCATTATATTGTCATAATATGAATTATGTGGTACATATTTTGTGTGCCAGATCTACTGGAATGAAAATTATAATATGAATCATTACTAGTGACCTTCTCAAGATGGGCATTTATTACCGCTGTTGTCACTGGATCATGTAACTTTTGAGACATTGAAATGTATTTACTAACTGCAAGAGTTTTGAGAGACATTCAAGAACGGTGATAAGGGCTGGATGAAATTTTGTAAAATACTGCATAGTTGTAGATTAAAAGAAACTGTACCCATTTTGCTCAGCTAAACAAGGGAAACACTCAGAAGTACTTGAGTGATATATATATGAATGATGTATTTGTATCTCCCCCCCCATTACCTTACCATTACTCACAGTTTTTAATGTATTTATCTTCACAACACCGATGTGAGGTAAAAGTGCTAATATCGTACTTTTAGTTATCATTCAGAATTCATAGCAACACTTTTCCTTCATTCCTATTAGATTAATTAGGTTGCCCAAAATAGTATGATTGCTGGTCTTGAGAATCAGGAGGACTGTAGAATAGCCTAAGACTCCTAGGGTATGTCTACACTGCGATAAAACACCCATAGCTGGCCCATGTGTCAGCTGACTCAGGCTCGTGAGGCTCGGGCGGTGGGGCTAAAACACTGCAGTGTAGTCGTTTGGGCTTGGCCTGGAGCTCAGGCTCTGGGACTCTCCCCACTTGTGGGGTCCCAGAATCTGGGCTCCAACCTGAGCCCAAAAGTCTACACTGCAATTTTACAGTCCCGTAGCCTGAGCCTCATGACTTAAGTTCCCCCTAAGCTGCACGTGGGCTCAGGGCTGCGGCGGGGAGAGATGCCGCTCCCCTAGCACGGACCTGCCATGGTAAGGAGAGGCGCCTTTTCCTGCCGGCCCCAGCAGGGACCTGCCTCGGACTTGCAGTGGCCAGGGGACAGGCGTCCCGCCCCTGGCCTCACCCCAGCCCCGGCATGGACCTGCCGCAGCCAGGGGAGAGGCGCCTCTCCCCCACTTCCCCCAGCCCAGGTGCCTCTGTGAGGAGAAAGAGCTGGGGGGAGTCCTCTCTCCCCGCTGTAGCCCCTGGGCAGCCTGCATCCCAAACCCCTCATCCCCAGCCCCACCTCAGAGCCTGCATCCCCAGGCAGAGCCCTCACCTCCCCCCCAAACCCTAAACCTCTGCCCCAGCCCTGAGCCCCTCATCCATGGCCCCACTCTGGAGCCCTCACCCCCTAATCCTCTGCCACAGCCCTGAGCCCCCCTTCCACACTCTGAACCCGTTGGCCCCACCCCCACCACATGAATTTTGTTATGTGAACTAATATAGAGGTGATGTGTCACACATCACTTCCATATTGGTGCACATAATAAAACCCATTCCATACATATGTGGGAAAAATTAGAGGGAACACTGCCATGACCTTGAGTCAGCTGACAGTAGGGTTGCCAGGCATCCAGTTTTTGACCGGAATGCCCAGTCGAAAAGGGATCCTGGTGGCTCCGGTAAGCACTGCTGACTGGGCCTTTAAAAGTCCAGTCAGCGGCGCACTGGGGCTAAGGCAGGTTCCCTACCTGCTCTGTCTCTGTGCAGTTCCCCGGAAGCGACTGGCATGTCCGGCCCCTAGGTGCAGGGCGGCCAGGGACCCTCCACGTGCTGCCCCCACCCTGAGCGCCGGCTCTGCAGCTCCCGTTGGTCAGGATGTGGTGGGGGCAGGGCCTTAGAGAAGGGGCGGGGCAGGAGGCGGGGCAAGAGTGTTCAGTTTTGTGCAATTAGAAAGTTGGCAACCCTAGCTGACACAGGTTAGGCACAACTGTTTTATTGCAGTGTAGACATACTCCTATTGACTTGAGTGAACTTTGCATCAGGCCCTTAGACCCAGATCATCAAAGATATTTAGGTGCCTAAACTCCCATTGATTGTAATGGGAGTTAGATGACGAAATCCCTTTGAAGATTTAGGCCCTAGAGACTTGGCTTTATGAGTGTGTTTATGTTTGATGCATCATTGTAGTTGGGCACTTTTGCTGTGAAGAATAAAATGAACCAGAAGGTCCCCTATGGCACAGAAGAGCGGAACGGAGGCTCCACTGTCAAGTCAACATGGCTGTATGGTTGGTGCTTGGCTGCTTGGAGGCAGGGGACTGAAGCTGTCAAGCAGCTGCCTAACACTCACTGAAATTTGTGGCAATACAACTGGAACTGCTAAGGCCAAAATTAGCACCTTTTCCATACTGGCCTTACTCTGTCCTCTGCCAGCAGAAGGTGAAAACACCTATGCCACATGGAAGTTTATTATTGTTGTTTTACTTATAAATACAATTTATAAATCCAAAACTGTGCTAGGCACTTTACAGGCAAGTATGAAGACCCAGTCCCTGCACTTAAGAGCTTACAATCTAATTAAATAATGTACACATGAAAGATGTGGCACAAAGGAAAGGGCCAGATTCTGCCATCCTTGCAATAAGACCTTACTCTGTAAGTAGCTCTATTTAAATCAGTGGGACCCCTTGTGGAGCAAAGTGCTACTCGACCTGAGTAAAGGTGGCAGAATCTGGGCCAAGGTGCAGAAGTTAAGCAAGAATGTTGTTAGATTCATGAGTTTTCTTTACAGATTTTATTTTATTTTTTGTGGAGGAGACGTCCTATTTGTTATATGGCACTGTGGAGAGATCCAGGATTGATGGGCCTTTTGAAACAAGGTTGCACTGCGTGTATGAATTTTAAACTATAAAAAGATATTGGAATTTTTAAACCAGGAGGACTGAAGTGCAGCTGTGACATCTCTTTAAATTATTAATCATATTGTGGTATATACATATTTTTACCTACTAGAAATGGGGGGAAAAAGATATTCTTATGCATTTCGAGCAAAAGTTGAAGGATGAAAACATATAAACAGATAACAGGTTCTTCTTGGAAGAGATGGCATTATGTCTAAATGGAAGTGGATCCTTCCCTGATCCTTTTTATTCTGTCAGAGTTGATGCATGGAGATTTTAATCTGTCCTTTTGCAGTACCAGAAATTAATTCCAAACCCACATACTCCACATTTCCTAATTAAATGTTTGAAAACTACTGGTATTTATACTTGCATGTGATTAGTTTATAAACTTCTTTATTTAGGACTTTTTGCTTTTAAACTAGCCTGGAGTCAATAAATCTCTTTACAGATGTCAATTTGGTCAGCAGTAAAGAGGTAAATAGAAACTAATGACACTCATCAAGCCCATGGCATGAATGATTTATTGGGCACAATCATTTAACACTTTCATAAAGTCAATATAAGGGAAAGAAACAGGTTTCTTATTATAGTAAACTGTATTTGTACTGTCAGCACACCATGATTTATGACAAACCTGTGGCCAGGATTAGGATATTATAAATGAAGGAAAATGGAAGGCTCATTAATTTTTTATACCCATAGGTAGAAGACATGCAGTGGGCTAGCAGAGATCATACTCATCCAGCATCTGTTTGCAGCCTGCCCTGTAAACCTGGGGAAAGAAAGAAAACAGTAAAGGGAGTGCCTTGCTGTTGGCACTGTGAACGCTGTGAAGGGTACCATTACCAAGTGGATGAGCTCACCTGTGAACTGTGCCCATTTAATAAGCGACCAAATGCCAACCGCACAGATTGCCAGCTTATTCCAATAATCAAACTGGAATGGCATTCTCCCTGGGCCATCGTGCCCGTGTTCATAGCTATTCTCGGAATTATTGCAACCACCTTTGTCATCGTGACATTTGTCCGCTACAATGACACACCCATCGTCAGGGCATCTGGCCGCGAACTCAGCTACGTGCTATTGACTGGGATTTTTCTCTGTTACTCTATCACTTTTTTAATGATCGCCGCTCCGGACACAGTGATCTGCTCATTTCGACGGCTCTTTTTAGGACTCGGCATGTGCTTCAGTTACTCTGCCTTGCTCACAAAAACTAATAGAATCCACAGAATATTTGAGCAAGGTAAAAAATCTGTCACAGCTCCAAAGTTTATTAGCCCGGCTTCCCAGTTGGTGATCACTTTCAGCCTCATATCCATGCAGCTTCTTGGAGTCTTCATCTGGTTTGCTGTTGATCCACCACATATCGTAGTAGACTATGGAGAGCAGAGGACACTTGATCCAGAAAATGCCAGGGGAGTTCTCAAATGTGACATTTCTGATCTTTCTCTCATTTGTTCCCTTGGATACAGTATTCTCTTGATGGTCACATGCACTGTGTATGCTATTAAAACAAGAGGGGTTCCAGAGACCTTCAATGAAGCAAAACCCATTGGATTTACTATGTACACCACCTGCATAATTTGGTTAGCTTTTATTCCAATCTTTTTTGGCACTGCGCAGTCCACAGAGAAGGTAAGTGACAATAAAATTAAGAATCAAATATTAACCTGCCTTTTTCAGTTACAATATTTGTAAAATTACATTAATTCAGTCTTATAAATTACTAATTCTGAATGTGAACACAAATTCCTAGACTATTAGGAAATGGAAGGTAATGGCATGTGTCTTTGGAAAGGTACATTTCCCGGGTTTTGTAACAAGATCTGGGATCTGACTATGACATGATTGCCATAATAACTTGGTCATTTTCTGGATACATCTTTTCCTTAAATGACTGCTTCCACTAATGCGTATTATTATCCTTTCATGATGCTCCAGTCTGTTATATGAAACGCTATAAATGTTTGCTGCCTAGCACAGAACTGATGCAAATAGATAGATTTCAAAACTCCGCAAAGATCTACTTACACTTGTCAAAAATAATGAAGAAGAATGTTTGGGTAGAATGAAAGTCATTACCTTTACCTGTCAGCCACACACATAAGTAAGTAAGTAAATAAATAAATACAAATATGGGGAGAAAAATGCCCAGTAAATTGAATATTGATCTCATATAAAACCTTACAGAAGGGCTCAGTTAATTAATTAATAGCTCCTTGAGAAATTAGGCTCATGAAAATGAGCTCTTTTGATGAGAGATTCAGTCTAACATGTTCAGAGGTCAGTTCTTCCTTGTTCAGTTGACAAGATCCTTATCAGTCAGGGAGAACCATATACAATACCTCAAACATTTAACTCTATCTCTCTTGCTTCTAATGGGAAGACAGAGACACGTCAGATATGCAAGTTTGTCTCCAGCTGACATTGGGAAAGATGGCAAATCTGCTAGGAAAGAGCAATAAAACACAGATCAATCGCCAAGATGGTTTGGAAAATCTTGAAAAGCAGAAATGTAGGGTATGAATCCCTGAACCAGATTCTCCTCCTGCTCCCATTCCTAATGGGTGATTTTTTTAAAAATTATTTTTTAAAATATCCAAAATATTTTCCAGAAAATGGATTACAGAATCTATCCCCATCAATGTATATGGAAACGGCTACATGCTTTCAACTGGCATAACCCCCTTGGCTTCAAAATTCAAAGTGTTATTGTGTGACTAAATAAAACACCTGCTGATTCAGGCGTAAAAGTTTTCAGGGGGAGCAGAGCTCATTAGTATGATCTTTTTCACTTCTGTAGATCAATGTGGCTTTCACCCAGGTTTCTTAAAAAAAAAAAAAAAAAAGCATTAAGCACGCTCACTGCTGAATAGGTCAGACTGCCAAAAAGCCAAGATCTGTAACCTGCCATGACTTGCATGGCCTTGTTCAGAATGAAAGGCCATTAATATTTTATGGAGAATTAAGCCCTAAGGTAGTGGCACAGCGTAGGTGCAGTAAGTAAAGCTGAAGAATTCTGACACTTATAATTGGAACTCGGAAATACTTTTAGCTGATAATCATATGTATGAACAGAGTTTAAATGCTGATGATTTTATGTATAGATTTAAGTCAGGAAAGACTTGTGTGGATAGAGATGCAATACTTATTATTTGAAAGAGAATGTTTTACCATTCAGGGCATGCTGAGTTTAGCAAGGGATGGTATTTGTGACTAAACAAATGTATTTCTGGATAATGGAAAATGCTATTTGGCCGGTGGTTCCGCAATGACTTTTAATTTACACAATAGGTTCACATTTATTTGACGCAAGAGATGACACACTCTCCACTTCTAAAGAAGAGAATAATAAACCCCTTTGTTTGGTTTCTTATGTGAACTCCCAAAGTGGACATATGAACATAACTAAATTTCCTGGGTTCTGGCACTAAACTTTGTTAGTAAGTTGTTGCATTTTTAAAAAATGATCGGTTATTCTTGTTCTTCATATGACGACTTTCAGGAGGGGAAAAAACAAATTAAAATGCTAATACAGTAGTTTTGCAATTCAAATAATTCTTTCAGCCTTTCTGCTTTTTGTTGTAAATAAAAACATGTTTCCACACCAAGCCTTATGGACATCATCACAATAGCTCAAGCATGCATGCAATTAAATTGTTTCTCTAAATGGGACAAAAACGTAATGACTAGTGCTCACGTATATAATAAGTGTCTGAATATACTCAGGCAAAGTTACTTGTAGTTTTCTCAGTTAATATCGAACTTCTAAAGACATGTTCTAAAGAAAGCTAATACACTATAAAATATGGTAATTGGAATTATGGTAATTGGAATTGCTTTTTGTACACCTATTTTTATCTGATAAGGAAATGATGGGATAAATTAAATGAAGTGGTGGTTTCTGAGGTGCTCATCACCCTGAACCTTGTCTGCAGTTATTTTAGAGCCCTCATATTATTTGGCTATATGGCTTGAGTTTGTTCAAAGGGAATCTAGCTATAAATTCGGGAACTTAAAGCACTGAATAAGAGCAAGGGTTGCATTCTTGAAATGCTGAAGGGAATAAAATTGAGCAAGGCAGTCTTTACATCCCAAATCTATTCCCAACTGGTATTTTACAGCATCTGTATCTCTAGACAGGCTCCTATTCATAATAATAATAAATAATAATAAATCGTTAAACATCTCTGAAAGTGTTCTGGGGTACTGTCAGGACTGGGGCATGAGCAGGAATCAGGGGCCTAGTGACCTGAGCAGGAGTCGGAGCTGGAGTCAGAAGTCAGGAATTGGAGTCAAGGGTCAGAACCAGTTAACCTGGAGTGAGGCAAGACAGGCAAGGCTGGGTCCAAGGCTGAAACAGGCCCAGAGCAGGGCTGGGGGCAAGCAGGCACAGGAGCTCTTGCAGCCATGGGATATGCTTTGAGCAGTCACTGTGGTGGTAGTGATGGTGGTGGTACTGCTATGGGGATTAAGAGCCGGTCTGCTGACTTTTCCAGCCAGTCAGGTGGTATAGCCATTCAGGTAGCCTAGGATAGGCCAGCTGCACTGGGTAGGTTGCGGAGGGACTGGCTCTACTGCAGGCCCTGCTTCCTGATGGGCACTTCCTTATCCCCTAAATGTTACTGATACGCACAACAAGCAGCAGAAACCAATATATTTTCTGGGAAGATCATATACACATATGCAATTGCCCATTCCAAGAACTAATGAGCACACAATTTAGGTAGAAAATGTTTTGGTATCTCCTATTTGCTTTGCTTCAGTCTTCACGGCTGAGGATGTTAGGGAGATTCCCAAACCTGAGCCACCTTTGTAGGTGACAAATCTGAGGAATTGTCACAGATTGAAGTGTCACTAGACGAGGTTTTGGAATTAATTGATAAAGTTAACAGTAACAAGTCACCGGGACCAGATGGCATTCACCCAAGAGTTCTGAAAGAACTCAAATGTGAAATTGCGGAACTATTAACTATGGTTTGTAACCTGTCCTTTAAATCAGCTTCTGTACCCAATGATTGGAAGATAGCTAATATAACGCCAATATTTAAAAAGGGCTCTAGAGGTGATCCCAGCAATTACAGACCAGTAACTCTAACATCACAGACACATTGAAGAACATAAATTGTTGGGCAAAAGTCAACATGGTTTCTGTACAGGGAAATCATGTCTTACTAATCTATCAGAGTTCTTTGAAGGGGTCAACAAACATGTGGACAAGCGGGATCCAGTGGACATAGTGTACTTAGATTTCCAGAAAGCCTTTGACAAGGTCCCTCACCAAAGGCTCTTACGTAAATTAAGTTGTCATGGGATAAGAGGGAAGATCCTTTCATGGATTGAGAACTGGTTAAAAGACAGGGAACAAAGGGTAGGAATAAATGGTAAATTTTCAGAATGGAGAGGGGTAACTAGTGGTGTTCCTCAAGGGTCACTCATAGGACCAATCCTATTCAACTTATTCATAAATGATCTGGAGAAAGGGGTAAACAGTGAGGTGGCAAAGTTTGCAGACGATACTAAACTGCTCAAGAGTTAAGACCAAAGCAGACTGTGAAGAACTTCAGAAAGATCTCACAAAACTAAGTGATTGGGCAACAAAATGGCAAATGAAATTTAATGTGGACAAATGTAAAGTAATACACATTGGAAAAAACAACCCCAACTATATATACAATATGATGGGGGCTAATTTAGCTACAACTAATCAGGAAAAAGATCTTGGAGTCATCATGGATAGTTCTCTGAAGACGTCCACGCAGTGTGCAGCGGCAGTCAAAAAAGCAAACAGGATGTTAAGAATCATTTAAAAAGGGATAGAGAATAAGACAGAGAATATCTTATTGCCCTTATATAAATCCACATCTTGAATACTGCGTACAGATGTGGTCTCCTCATCTCAAAAAAGATATACTGGCATTAGAAAAGGTTCAGAGAAGAGCAACTAAAATGATTAGGGTTTTGGAACTGATCCCATAATAGGAGAGATTAAAGAGGCTAGGACTTTTCAGCTTGGAAAAGAGGAGACTAAGGGGGGGATATGATAGAGGTACGTAAAATCATGAGTGGTGTGAAGAAAGTGAATAAAGAAAAGTTATTTACTTGTTCCCATAATATAAGAACTAGGGGCCACCAAATGAAATTAATGGGCAGCAGGTTTAAAACAAATAAAAGGAAGTTGTTCTTCACACAGCACACGGTCAACCTGTGGAACTCCTTGCCTGAGGAGGTTGTGAAGGCTAGGACTATAACAGGGTTTAAAAGAGAACTAGATAAATTCATGAAGGTTAAGTCTATTAATTGCTATTAGCCACGATGGGTAAGGAATGGTGTCCCTAGCCTCTGTTTGTCAGAGGGTGGAGATGGATGGCAGGAGAGAGATCACTTGATCATTACCTGTTAGGTTCACTCCCTCTGGGGCACCTGGCATTGTCCACTGTCGGTAGACAGGATACTGGGTGGATGGACCTTTGGTCTGACACAGTATGGCCATTCTTATGTTCTTATTTTCTTATTGTTCTTTCACTCCCAAGATATTTACATTGATAAACAGAGAGACAAGGTAATTTAAACAGCTTGCTATTTGAAACTAACAGAAGGCCTGATCCAAAGTCCATTAATCTATGGAAAGATGC